AAAATTTTTAAAAATAAAAATAAAAAATTTTAAATCCCCAGCCCTGCATCAGGGCAAAGAGAGAGAACCTTCTTTACCACGAGGGAGATTCAGAAATTAAACAGGCTGGTATTTGAAGCAGGGAGCTCCCCATCGCGGGAAGGATTCAAGAAGAGGCTGAGCAACACTTAGAGAGGGACAGGGGGACCGGGTTCCTGCACTGGGTGGGGGTGGGAGTGAATAGACGGACTGGAGGGCCTCAGGGTTGAGACACTTGAGTCTGGAGATCCATATCCCAGGCTGTGAGCTGTGGTGAGTGTTTCTGTAAATAACACAGTTACTCTACATTTCGAGGCTTGGAAAAGAAAAAACAATGCTAGTAAGTTAAATAAATGTATCAGCATGTCATAGTATACATTGAGAAACACATTTTTACTTGAGAAAATATTTGGTTAATAATATCTAATGTTTTTAGAGTGACCGTATGCCAGACTCTAACAAATATTTTAATATATTAAATATATATTTTTAAATGTTACCTTATTTAATCCCCACAACGATCCTGGGCAGCGGGTACTCCCATGATACCTGTGGATTGGCCAGGTTTCTGCTACAACACTGCTGTGTAACAAACATCCCCACCAATCCAGAGGCTTGCCACATCTCTCCTCCCCTCTCATAGGTCTGCAGGTCAACAGGGCTGGCTCTGCTTCCTTCTGTGGGTCGACTGGATTTAGCTGGGCCACAGGTCAGATTCAGGTTGACTCCACGGGTGTCTCCTTCTAGAACCATCAGCTCCCTGGGCCGTGTGTGCTCTGCAGCACACGGTAGAAGCTTAAGCAGCCAGGCCAAAAACCCAACCATATTTCAGCCAATGCTTCTGTCACATCCACTGATATCAAATTGACCAAAGCAAGTTACGTGGCCAAGCCCTCACTTCGGCTGGCAAGGGAAACAGACCCTGCCTGTGCGAGAGGGAGGGACCGCAGCGTCACAGGGTGAAGAGCATAGATGTATAATTCCCATTACAGGAGAGAGTGAAAAGTTAAGAGTAATAATGTCCAATCTGCCCCCAACAGGTTTCACAGGTGAGAACTCAGGGCCTCACCTGAGGACACAAATGACCCAAGGTGACACAGCTGGCTATTGTGATTTCCCCCGGGATTCTGGCCCAGGGTGTCTGACGTCAAAGCTGCTCTGGCCCACAGCTCATCAGGCAATCCTGGTACATAAGAGGGGTTCAGGAAACGATGGGTTTGTTATCCAAGTGCACACTTCAAACAGGTGCGGTTTATTGCACGTCCGTTATATTCAATGAAACGCTGACATTATTTCTTAAAAGAAACTTTTTAAAAAAGGAAAAAACAACAGTCAGTAAATGAAATGTTGGTACCTGGGACAAGACTTGATTCTGAAGAGTATCAGGAAAGGGCTGGCGCTCGGCATCCCCAGGGAGAACCTGGCAGGCTCCAGGGACCTCCGCGGGGGGCCGGCCATGGAGAGGGGAGGTCAGGCCTACACGGTGTGGCTGCCCTGGGAGATTTTAGCGGGAGGCCTGGCTCTCCTCAAGAACCAAAGGCTGAGAGAGAGAGAGATTGGCCAGCCTGAAGATGCAGCAGCGGGGTGGAAGGGGAGAGGCAGATTCAGTGCTCCCTGGGGCCTACGCCGATTACCCCTCACACGGAGGCAAAGAGGGTGATGCCCCCGAGCCAGCCAGTGAGCACAGGAGGTCTATGGGATTCAGGGGAGAGGGTCAAGGCTCCAAGGTCAGCTCCAATATGACATCCGCCCTTTCATCTTTTGGTTTGCAGAAGTGATGGGGTGGGGGGTGGAGGGGAATAATGAGGTTCCAGCCCTGGGCCCCTGGGGCCCTTTGCTTTGTGACCCAAAATTCAAGTTACGTGATGTCTCCGAGCCTCAGCTTCCAACCAATTTATTTTTTAAAAGGTGTGGGGGGAGCCCTGGGTGGCTCAGTCGGTTAAGCATCCAAGTCCAGATTTCGGCTCAGGTCATGATCTCAGGGTTTCAAGATCGAGCCCCATGCTGGGCTCTGCAATGGGCGTGGAGCCTGCTTGGGATTCTCTCCCTCTCCCTCTGCCCCTCCCCACCTCTCTCATGGGCTCAGGCCGTGATGGGCGACCGGCTGCTGACCTCCCAAAAAAAGAGAAAGCAGAGGGTATTGTGCCTGGTGAGGAAACACCCCACACCTGTGAAGTTGTCTAACCAGAACCAGCGAGCCCGAACCAGGACAAGCCTCTAGACCCAAATGGCAGCTCACGGGAAATGCAGGGAGCACAGCCACGGTCAGAAAACACAGTGGGGACCCAGCCAGCCAAGTCCAGCCCGAGGGAGACTCTCCGGGACAAATCAATTGCAAGGAAAACAACACGGGGTCGAGGAGCCTATTTAAGAAGCGATTTAAAACACTCACCGATCTCCATGTGTGGCCCTTAATTTAGATTCTGGTTCAAATAAAAATCATTCTCTAGGAATGCATGTTGTATATTTGTCATATAATATGCAATTACATATTAAATACATAAAAACAATTATAGATTAAATGTCTAGCATATGAATACGCTAAATACTATCTGAAAAAGATATGTGTTTATGTTTTAAATATAAACAGAGGCCATTGGAAATTTGATGACACCACCAATGGTGTGTGAAATATATTTACACTTAAAAGAAATGCAATGATATTGATTGGGGTTTGGGAGCTATTATAGCTACGTGTTACATTTTGAAAGGCCCTGATTTCTAGAGCTGCATACTGACGTATCTCCAGATTAAAAAAACATAACGGCTGGGAGTTGCTTCAAAGTAAATCAGGATGGGGATGGGAAGCATTGGGGACAGAGGTGAAGGGATCTGACTGGGAGTGAGTGTTGGCGCCCCTAGGTGACGGGCACCCATGTTCATTATACTCTTCTCTCCAATTCTGGTAAGTGCTTGGAAAGTTACATCATGAGAAGGTGCAAGTTCCCACCATTAAGGGGCACCTGGGTGGCTCAGTTGGTTAAGTCTCTGCCTTCGGCTCAGGTCATGATCTGAGTCCTGGGATCAAGTCCCGCATCGGGCTCCCTGCTCAGCGCGGAGTCTGCTTCTTCCTCTCCCTCTGCCCCTCCCCCTTCTTGTGCTCTCTCTCTCTCTCTCTCTTTCTCAAGTAAATAAAATCTTTTAAAAAATAAATGTAGAAAGGGGTTTTTTTTTTTCCTGATTTTTTTATGGTGGTAAAATGCACATCACATCACATTGGCCATCCTGACCATTCTTAAGTGCACAGGCGGTGGTCACATGAGGACATTCACACCGTCCGTCCCCAGAACTCTTTTCTGCTTGCAAAACTGCAATTCTGTCTCCGTTAACCCCCGGCGACTGCCCTTCTGCTTCCGACCTCTAAGAACCTGATGACCCTTGGTAGCCCACACCAGTGGGATCACACAGGATTGGTTCTTTCGTGACTGGCTTACCTCACTTAGCATCACGTCCTCAGGGCTCATCTCGAGGAGGCAGTGAGAGTCAGAATCACCTCCCTTTTGAAGGCTGACTAATATTCCGTTGTACGGATAGACATACCACGTTGCGCTTGTCTGTTTCTCCACCGGGGGACTGTTTCCACATTTTGTGGGCTGTTTCCACATTTTGTGGACTGTTTCCGCATCTTTTTT